TCAGCAGGTCGGGGGGCTCCAGGCTGCAGGGGGGCTCAGCAGGATCCCAGTGGTGCACCCAGGCTGGCCCCGGGGGGCTTCACCCCACTTTAAGAGGGGGGATACAGAGATGCTCTGTCCCCTGGGGAGCACCAAGTGTCCCTGCCTGGGGACAGGGTGGGGAGCACCCTGGCTGCTCCCAGTGCCAGGGGACCCTTGTGGTGACAGGTCGGGGGGCTCCAGGCTGCAGGGGGGCTCAGCAGGATCCCAGTGGTGCACCCAGGCTGGCCCCGGGGGGCTTCACCCCACTTTAAGAGGGGGGATACAGAGATGCTCTGTCCCCTGGGGAGCACCAAGTGTCCCTGCCTGGGGACAGGGTGGGGAGCACCCTGGCTGCTCCCAGTGCCAGGGGACCCTTGTGGTGACCCCCGTCCCTGGCAGGGCTCGGAGAGCTGGGAGGTGGTGGAGGAGCCACGGGTGCGGGGCAGCCCGGGCCAGGAGCCACAGCCGCACGAGGGGTACCTGCTCAAGAAGAGGAAATGGCCCCTGAAGGGCTGGCACAAGGTAACGGGGCAGAGCTGGCACCGGGAGCCATCCCTCGGCCACCCAGCTGGTCCCGGGTGCCGTCCCCATCCCTGGGGCGATTTGGGCCCCTGGGTGGGGGTCTGCAGGGACCGGTCTCTACCTGCCCCCGCCAACCCTCGTCCCTCTCTGTCCCCAGAGGTACTTTGTGCTGGAAAACGGCATCCTAAAATACGCCACCACACGCCAGGACGTGAGTGTGGGGCCGGGCTGCGTCCGTGCAGCCTCCCTGAGGGCTTGGGGAGGGGGAGACCCCATGACCCCCATGAGGAAGGGGGTCTTCCCCCTGACAGGCATCCCTGGGCTCCCCCAGGTCCTCAAGGGCAAACTGCACGGAGCCATTGATGTCCGTCAGTCCGTCATGTCCGTCAACAAGAAGGCGCAGCGGATCGACCTGGACACGGAGGAGAACATCTACCACCTCAAGGTGCTGGCGGGGGCTGGAGCCAGGGCTGGGGGCGTTGGGTAACCCCCACCCAGGTCCCTGCCGCCCCAACTTGCCCCTGTCCCACAGATCAAGTCCCCGGAGCTCTTTGCCAGCTGGGTGAGCAGCCTCTGCGCCCATCACCAGGGCGAGAGGCCCGAGCCCTGCCTCAGGGGGGGTCCCGCAGGGAGGACCCCCACCTACGCCCAGGTGGGTGGCACCTCGGGGTGGCAATGCGAGGCAGCACCCGGGCACGGGGCTCCCGATGGCAGCCCCGGCGGTGCCCCTTCTCCCCTGCTGCAGGGCCCATGGACGCGGATCCTGCCCTCGGGCAGTGCCCCTGCCCTCTCCACCCTCGCCAGCTCGCGGGACAAGGTGAACGCCTGGCTGAAGGATAGCGAGGGGCTGGAGCGCTGCTCGGCCGGTGAGCAGGGCGGGAGGGGATGCACGGGGTGGCGGGGGGATGCCCCGTCCCCCATCACTGACCGGGCTCGCTCTGTGACCGTGACAGAGCTGTCGGAGTGCCAGGCGAAGCTGCAGGAGCTGACCGACATGCTGCAGAGCCTGGAGGCCCTGCACCGCATCCCCTCGGCCCCCCTCATCTCCGGCAGCCAGGTGAACGGGGCAGCGGCGGGCACGGGGTTGAGCATTGCCCAGTGTGGCAGCCCCACTTCCCGGGGAGGGTCCGGCTCCAGCCCCCTCCTCTCGCTCACAGCCCTCGGCCGCCGCCGCAGAGAGGCCCAAGAAGGGCAGGAGGACCACCAAGATCTGGTGCACCCAGAGCTTTGCCAAAGACGACACCATCGGCAGGGGGGGGGGGAGCGGGCATCCTGCCGAGCTCTGCCTGCTGCCGGCTGAGCCGCTGCCCGGGGCCAGAGCCCCCCAGGGCCCCGCTGACCCCCATGTCCCCCCTCCCCAAGGTGGGCCGCCTGCACGGCTCCGTCCCCAACCTCTCGCGCTACCTGGAGCCGTCCCAGAGTCAGCTGCCCTTCAGCCTCCCCCCTGAGTACAGCCAGCTGCAGAGGAGCTTCTGGGTCCTGGCCCAGAAAGGTGGGATGGGGTGGCGGGGGCTGAGCCCGCTGGGGGTCCCAGCGGCAGCAGGGTGGGTGCTGGGGTGCCGTGCTGCAGCCCGACCGCCTGCCCGTGTGTCCCGGCAGTGCACGGCTCGCTCAGCAGCGTGGTGGCTGCGCTGACGGCCGAGAGGGCCCGGCTGGAGGAGATGCGGCAGGCTCTGGACCGGCGGCGCTCAGCCCCACGCCAGGGCGGTGCTGGCAACACCGGGGTGAGGGATTGCAGGGGGCTGGGCAGGGCTGCCCCTGGCTTTGGGTCCTGCCGGAGCCCAGGGGTTGTCGCTGTTGGGGTGCCGGTGGGTGCAGCGAGTTGGCAGGGTCTCAGCCCGGTGCTGGGTGTCTGGACAGCAGCAGGGCGATCCCCCGCTCCCCATCAGCCCCACGCTGGCTGGAGGGGACAGGCTGGGGTGGGGGGCTCGGCTCAGCTTCCCCCTGCCTCCGCAGGCCGCCCTGCGCCGCTTCCACTCCCTCTCCGTCTCCTCCGACACCACC